ACTCAGAATTCATTGTAATCAAATCAGAACGGATTCATAGCTGCCCTTCTAAGGGGTCTTCAGAGGCACTAGAGACTATACACCTTTTTCCTGAGGAGCCTTAGGTGGATACAAACAGCAGGAGGTCCATTCTTTGGGTTCACAGTGACTCTATGAACAAGAAGCTTCCCCTACCCTGTCCCATGCTCAAATCTCCCACATGTTCAAGCCCACTATTAAGATCTGTGTCTATCCATTTCCTAGAGGGCCAGCCTCTCTTTCCACAACCCTTTACCCTTCCCAGGATGCTGACTTTTTCCAAAGACTGGCCTCTCCTGATAATACACTCAAAGTATGTGAGATAAAGACTCACCATCTGTGCATCTAAGGACCACCCTGGTTGCACTTCCTCCAGGACGAATTTGTTTCTTTTAGCAGTCCATGGGAATATTCAGTACATTTCGCTAATGCCACAATTCACAGGCACTGATTCTTCTTTGTTTCATATTCAGTGTCCAACTTTCAGATACAAGTGAAGCAACTGACAATACTAGGACTTGAATCAGTACCACCTTGGTCTTTAAACTGATACCTTTGACCTTTAAGTACTGTCACATCAACTCAACCCTGCCCTGTCTTGTACCATTCTCACCATCTCGTCAAGCTCAAGCTCACTGTGATGATAGTCATTGTGTCAATCCATCTCGTTGAGGGTCTTCCTTTCTTTTGTGGACTCTCAACCTTTTCTAGTACTATGTCTCTCTCCAAGAACAGGTTCCTCTTGTGACTTTGCTCAAATGAGATCAAGTTACACTATCCTTGCCTCTAAAGGTGCATTTTCTTCAAAACAGATTTAGTTGTTCTTTTGGCTATTCATGGGATGGTCAGTACTCTTCTCCAACATCACAATCCAAAGGCCTCCATTCTACTTAGTTCTCCCTTATTTACCGCCAACTTTCAGATGCATAGGAAGCAAGTTGAAAAGACGATAGCTTTTGATAAGGCACACCTTAGTCTTTAAACTGACATCCTCTTTCTTTTGCACCTTGGAGAAGTTCTAGACAACAGATTTCCCCAAGGCAACACATTTTTTTTATTTCCTGATTGCTCCTACTATGGGGGTTGGTTGTGGATCCACATAAAATGAAATCGCTGACAACATTTAAGAGCTGTGGTTCACTGGGTTACTATGGATCACAATCAACTTGATGCCACATAGCAACAACAATAAATCACAACGTTGCCTAGTGGTCCAGTGGTGAAGATTTTTTGTTTTCTTGCTCTTGAGGTGCAACTCATAGTGAAGGCTTTGCTCTTCGGTATTAAGTGCTTCATGCTTTGAGTTCTATAGGGATCAAAATTTGCTTTTAGTGCTATAAAATACCTGCTCCAAATGTAGTCTGGTGGAGAGGATGTCTATGGAGAGGAGTGGACCATAGAGAAAATACAAGGAAATGAGTGTTGGGCAAGGTTCCCAAGAAGAGAGGACGAGATACTAAGCTTAAGATGGGAAGGAAGCATAAGAGAAAAGGTATGTGTTTAGGACAGTTAAGAATATCTTGCTGATTTAAGGGGAAAAAGAGGCGATAGATGCGGATAGGTCTTCTGGTCATAGTAAACCGCTTAACGTTTTATTACACAGATGTTGCCTTTCAAGCCGACTACAACTGTACATTTATCACATTCCAAAACAGAACCAATACAGCATTTTGCTTCAAAAACTCAAACTCATTGCCTTCGAATCAAAACACTGACAGCTGACTCCCCAGTGAATTTTCCGAGGCTGTAAATCACACAGGAAAAGGCTGTCCATGTTTCTTCAGCATGAGCAGCTAGGTGGTGGTTTTGAAGCGCCTGTCTGTGTGTTGGCACTGCAGCTCCTTACCCACTAGACCACCAAAGCTAACTGCTTTGTGTAGAACCCACAAAAACACTAATATAAACGTAGAAAACCACTGAGATGCTGATGGATAGGACTAGGGTAAGAGTGCAATCATGTCTCCTGTCACTTCTGCTGCTCCTGCAGACCCAAAAGTCTGGGTTTGGAACAAGCAACTTGGCGCAGTTGAGGGTATCACTTTCCTATCCACTAGTCCGGCACCAAGCCCATGTCAGAGTCGAATGCCGGCGGGACCCTCCCGGACCCACCCGAGTCGAATGGGGGCGAGTGGGGGCGGGTCTTCTCCGGCGAGTGGATATGCCCGCCGGACTACTGCAAATCACCCAATTAGCAGAGTGGGGTCTGTCTGCAAAGCCGGCCAGCCAGGCCTAGGCTGCGCAGGGCAAACGCCCGCCAGAACACACTAGGAGTGGACGCTGCTACCTTGGACACCGCTGCGCCGCCCACAACGCCGCCAGCCCTGGTCCCTTCTACCCCCGTCGAGACTGGCGGCCGCGCCCCTTCCTCTCCCTAGACAATTATACAGCCCCCCGCAATAGCCTCTGATAACCACAAAGTCTGTACCACTCACCAGGCCGTTAGCCACCGCAGTCACAGAACACCACACAGCAACTCACGCCGGGCCCCGCCTGCCCAAGCCTTCCCACAATGCCCTGCGTACTCTCGCCCCGCCCCCTGGGTCCAGACTCGAGCGTGCGCAGACCAGCTACGGCGAGCCTTTTTACCTGTGGGACAAACTTAGTGACGGGCGGAAAAAGTGAGATTTTATTCTGTCTCTGAAATGGTTCGTCTTTATCTAATCTACCCCCAAAATGTAAGGGTCGTTCTAACATGTTCCAGTATCACTAGCAAAAGCTTAGATATTTTCTGTTGTTGTTTGGTAGAGTCAGAATAGGATCTATTGGGTTTTCTAGCGGTTAGGGAATTGAGCTGCCATCTCCAAGACTGAGAGTTCGAATCCGCCAGCTGCTCCGCCCGAAGCAGGGAAGAAAAGGGGAGGGAGGGGGGCTAACACTGTTCTTCTGTGTGATTTACAGCCACTGAAAACTCGCTGGATGGTCAACTATAAGTTGGTTCCGACTCTACGGCAAAGTTGAGCTGAATTTGAATCTTTACTGGAGGAAACTGGTGGCATAGCTCTTTGCAAGTTGTGCTACGTGTGCGCAGTAGGAATTTTGCAACAGCTCTTCGAGAGAAAGATGGACAGCGTCGGAAACCTGATGGAGGATCAGTCCCTATGAGTTAGAGCCTACTCCAAGGCAGGGAATATGTGAGTGAATCTTTACTGAGAGCCTCTGGGCAGGTTCAACCCACCGACTCAGTTTACAACCAACTGCTTAACCATTTGTGCCAGGACACCTTCAGAATCAATATTATCCCTACACTGACTTTATGGTGTCTAGCTATATGTCATGCACCTGCAAAACTCATGCTCCACTGATTGCCCTGTCATACTCATTTGAGCTCCCTTGAGAACGTCCAAGGCCAGGCCCTCTTTACAGATCTGCACTATGTGATCTGTTTAAGATGGTCCTTCACTACTGGCCTTCCCTAGCACCTGAGGCCCAGGATATCTGTTTACAGCTTTGGAAAGTCTTTTTGTGTATCTCTTTAGCTTCTCTTCATCTGAAGTTTGCTCATCTTTGAAAGCATAAAAGCTTTCTTCTAAGAAGAGTTCTTAATGCTTCTTGTCAACAGGGATCAAGAGATGCTTGTTTTAGGGCTTGAGAAGAATAGCAGTCCCCACTTACTTACTCCTCACTCTGTAGGTCATGTATGATGCTTCCTTCACATCCCAGATGCACCATGAAAAAGTCTCTGCCTCTCTTTGCTACAGAAATTCAGTAAGACATCAGGTACTTAATTGAGACAATACAGTCTCCAAATCATCCTAAAGAAACCCTGAAACCAAAGACCACTCTTACCTCTGTACTCAAGACCTCCAGGGAAAGGACAGGGCAACCAAAAGTTGAGGGGAATTGGAATCAAAAGAAGAGACACATTTAAAGTTTTCTTAAATTGCTTTAATTTGAATTCGAACTAAATCAAGCATTCAAGCCTGGCTGGCTCTGTAAGACATCATCTTGTTCTCCATGGGGTAAAAAGAAATTTGTAATTGAGGTCACGATAAGAAGCCCTAGTCTCCCAGGTTTCCCATTCTAGAGTTCATTTGAAGCAAATTTTGGCTAATGAATAAGTTTTAAAACAATTATGTTAATAGAACCAAGCTATAGGTTTCTTTTTTCTTCTAACACTAAATCTTTGAGGGAAAACCAAAAAAAGATCCAGGATCCAACTCTGTAACTGCACTAATCACCCACAAGGGGGAGCTCCTTGATGCAGATACTGACCTGGGCTCAAAAGCAGCCAAGCCTGGAGCCCTTTATTCGTGGTTTCCATTAAACACACAAGTTTCTCCACAGACTTTTCTCTAAATAACTCATCTCCCCGAAGCCAGATGCTCACTGCTTGGTTTCTGTGACCTGATTTATTTGAGGTCCTCAAAAACAGATGGTTTGTATGTAGTTCACTGAGGTGTATATGTTAACACTGATAATCTTGAACTTCTATCAAGTTCTTTTTTTTAATTTTTTTAATTGTATTATTTTTACATGTACCGTCAAATCAGATCTGACTGGTACAGGAGGAGATTGCCCCTCCTTCTCCAGCAGAGCATCTGGTGGATTTGAACCACGTACCTCTGGGATTGCAGTGCAGCGTCTTGCCACTAGGCCACCAGAGCTCCCTTCAAGTCCTTTTTTTTAAAAAAGCAATTCAAAATACATTCACAGTAATAATAACATCAAGTTTGCCCTGTCATCAGAAAGGAAAACATGAGTCCTGGAGAGATAAAAGACTTGTACATGGTTCCACATATATCAGGGCAAAGAGCTACTGAGGGATCACCTCTAGACGCTGGATCTTAATCTATGTTTCCAAAATGCTAAAGCACAGAGAGTTGATTACATCTCTCTATTATTTATAATTTTTCCATATGTGTATTTCGTGGAAAATGGGCGCCCACATGGGTATTTCTCGGATCCTCAGTGACTTAGTGCCCTCACTGCCCTCTCCAGCACAAAGCAGATAAGCTTCCTAGGCTGAAGGAGCTCTCCCTGCTCTCGTGCCTTTTTCTGGCTCAGAGTTCTATCAGTGAGAAGATACCACGTAGGCAGTGGCGATGTATTTCTTGCCATTTCCATAAGTAGACTTGTCCCAGGTGTACGTCTGAATGGCCAGGGGATGACCACCCAGGCTTAAGCGGCACCTGTGGGGGAAAGATCATCAAATCACAGAAGCCTTCCACTTTGCCCTGCTCCTCTCCTTGGGCTGGCGAAGTCCCTCTTGTTTTAAAGGGTCTTTAATAAAGGGCTGCTGCAGCTTTTCTCAACCACTGCCTGCAGCTCCACAGAAGCAGGAATTGCTTTCAAAATATATTGTTTATTTTCTGTCTTCTTAAAGAGCACTGCTCTCTAGCTTTCTCAAAGTAGTATTCCACAAACATAAAACCCCAGATTCTAGAGCTGAACCAAAAACTGTTGAATCAATTCTGATACACTGTTGCCTTTTAGGACAGGATAGAATTGCCCCCATAGGATATCCTAGGCAGAATGCCCCATCTTTCTCCTGTACTAGGACTGACACCACTCCCACCCACCCATTGAGAGTCAGTCTAGGGTTGCAGAAATAGGAGGAGGGTCAGAGAAAAGGAAGAAGACCCTCATGAGCTGGATTGACTCAGTAACTACCACAATGGGCTTGAGCTTGACACATCATGAGGAGATACAGGAGAGGAGAAGGTCAGATTTGTTTTTCTTAGGGTTACTATGAATTGTGTCAACTTGATTGGCACCGAACAGCAACAAGAAGACACTCTGAATTTCAAGCCTATAAGAAGCCTCCAAAACATGAGGCTTAGTGATTGTTAAAAGTATTCTTGAGGCTCCCCATGAAGCCTCAGGGTCCACTGCAATTCTGTCAGTTTTATGTAGTAGGATCTGACAGAAGTAAGTACTTTAGGGGAAACTGGGGACAGTGGTTCTCTGCTAAGAAGTTTGGCAGCCACTGATCTAAACCCAATGACTCCATTTTCCAAATAAGAAAACTGTGGCACAGAAAGATGCTTTGTCCAAGCACACATGGCCATTTAGTAGGAGAATCTGGATCTCCAGCCCTTCCCCTGCCTAAGGTCTGATTGCAGCTCCAGCCGCCTCTCCAGGCCCGCCCAGCTCAGTACTCACACTTTGCCTGGCCTGGCAATGAAGCACAGGGTGTAGAGTGCAAACTCAAACTCCGGGCTGCTCCCAATGAAAGCAGCACCTACTTCCTTATAGTAGCCATCCCAGTTGAACTGCATGGCCAGTACATCAGGATAGGAGTCCCACTGTGGAGAGAAGGGTTGTAAGGGGTTCTGTATTTCCACAGAGTGGAGGCAGACAAAGGACTGTCAAATGCCACAGTCAGCTATGATTTGTGGGAAGTCCAGAGGAGGCATGCACGGGCTTCCCAGGATGAGTAGATTCTTGAAATAGAGGAAACAGCCTGCCCTGCTAAGGTATCTGAGCCCACCTTGCAAAGGCCCTGTGCCTGGACCTGGCAGTGTACATCCACCAGGGAGGCCAGAGTACACATCCATACAAATGTCCCCAGGGCAGCACCTCACACTTGGAAAAGAAAGGCATTTTCTTACTTCTATCATATTTCTTTGTAAGGAAGGACCGGTCGTTGGAGAGGGATGTCATGCTTGGGAGGGTGGATGGACAGACCCTCGATGAGCTGAATTGATTCAGTGACTGGAGTGATGGGGGTGGGTGTGTCAGAGACAATAAGATTGGCGCAGGATAGAGCAGGGTTTAGGGCTGTTGTACATAGGGTTGCTATGAGTTGCAGGCACATAACAACAGCAATGTATTTCCTGACACAAGACAGCAAAGGTTGCTTTTTTATAAACTATGGCGTTTAACTCAGAGTGGCCAGGTGGAAGCTTCCAGACAACTGGCCATCCTTAAGGAATATAGGCACTTTAAGTCTCTGGTTCTCCCCTCTGAGGGCACCCCCAGAAGTGCTACCAGCTGCCTCATGCCCCCTGCCATTCTTCAGCATTCTCTATTTAGAAGAGAATCCCAGAGTCCTGACTGGTTATACCTCTCTCTAGAAAAGGAGAAGTCAGATTCCCTATAAGGGTGCTGGTGAGAGACAAGCCTCACTCCCTGGATTCCATTAATGGAACAAGGAAGGAAGGCAGGAAGTCTGGGCGCTAACAAGGCTTTCCCAGCCCGAGGGGTCAGGGTTCAGCACTCACAGGCCCATCGTAGGTGTAGCTGTAGTAGTCAACCAGGCCTTCCTTCTCCTGCAGGTAGAAGCGGATCCAGTTGTGGAAGCCCGTGACCTTGCCTTTTTTTACTTCACCTATAACAAAGAGTCCAAGGTGAGTGATCAAGGCTCCCTCCCTTCCCTCTCATGCCTCCCACTCCACTGACAAAGCTCTCACCCTGCCCAAGTCTCTAATGTCTCTTATGCCCACCTATGCTTTACCCACAGTCCCTCCCATCCCTATGTCCCACCTCAAGACTCTTTTTATATTCCAAGTGTTTGGGAGGATTCCTCCACTTAGCCACTCAGGAAACCCTGTTGAAACATTCCTCGCGGCCTTTTCTCTAGGAGTTAGCCACACTTCACAGAAGCTTTGTGGTGTGAAAGACCATGGCCCTTTTAGGAAGCAGCTTACCAAGCACTGCAGGCAGACAAACCTGGCTGCAAATCTTCTCCCATCCTAGAAAGATACCTTACCTGTCCCAGCTCAGTATCTGTTCTTTCCCTTTTCCACTCCAGAAGGCACTGTTCTTTAGAATGGTTGCTCAAACCTCACCCTCTTGGCCTGAGAGTAGAAGTGTCCCTCTCTGCCAGCTGGTTTGTCTACTGGCATATCAATGCCCAGTGCTGCCCTGCTCCTGACCAAAGTGATTTCTCTTCATCTCTCCACCGCTAATGCTTTTCTGCCAAAGACAGTGATCCCACCTGAGAAGACATGTTCAAAGCCACTTGAATCTCCCTCATCGTTGCCTCTTGAATAGAGTCCAAACCACATGTTCTTCAAGTCATCGACAAATTCTTGTTCTGAGCTGTAGCGATCTGGGGAGAAGAGCGCAGAGAACTTAGGGTAGGGCACAGTTGGGCCAGGTCCTGGGGTGTAAGAAAGTTATCTGTCCCAGTATATCAAAAGACACTTGAGTTCAACCAACAAATACATTTATTATTACTTCAATAGTGACCTATGGGACACCTATTTTGGACCATACACAGATCTAATAAAGGCTGAGGATTCACAGGAGATGTTGTTGTTGTTGTTGTGTGCCTTCTAGTCGCTTGTGACTCATAGCTACCCTATACACAATAGTTTGGAACCCTGCCTTATACTGAGCCAGTCTCACTGTCTCTGACACATCTACCCCTATTACCCTAGTCACTGTGTCAATCCATCTCATTCAGCAGCTTCCTTTCCTGCACTGTCCCTCCACCCTTCCAAGCATGATGCCCTTCTCCAAAGACTGGTCCCTCCTGGCGACATGCCCAAAGTATGTGTGACAGAGCTTCAAAATCCTTGCCTCCAGGGAGCAATTTGGTTTCACCAAGACCTTTATGGTTTACAAGGTCTTTATGGTTTACATTCCAGTGGAGGAGACCGAGAATAAACAAGGAAGCACTACACAATTAACATGATATCAGATAAATGCTATGAACAAAACAAAACCAAATAGCCCCAATTATAGAAGCTCTTCTAGAGAAGAAGATCTTACTCTCCTCCCAGATGAGGAAGGAAACCTGAATGATAAGGATCTGTATGTGCCAAAATCTGGAGCAGATCCTTCCAGGCAGCTTGAACTGCAAGCACAAAGCCTTTAAGACAGGAACAAGCTAGGTGTTCAATTAACAGAAAGGTCAATGTCTCTGGAGCACTGTGAGCAGGAGGGGAGAGTGGTCAGAAAGGAGCTCTAAAAGGCAAGGAGGCCAGATCATGCAAGCCATGGCAAGAAGGTTAGATCTCAGCCAAATACTAATAATAGATTTACTGAGCACTTCATACGTTTAAGACACTGTTTTAAGTGCTTTTGATGTAATGATACCTTACTGAAACTTCACATTGAATATTTATATAAGGTTAGTGTTAACTATCCCAAATTTATAGATGAGGAAACTGAGGTAAACAAAGGTTGTATAAGGCATTGTTAGCATGTTGTTATGTACTGTCAGTCAGAACCAATCCATAGGGGATCCTCCAGGGGGTTTTCAGAGGCATTTAATCACAAGGGAGGAGACTGTCTATCACTATCCCTCCAAGCAGTGGATTAGAACAGCATGCCTTTGGATTGGCAGTGTATCTCCTCACCGCTAAGCCCCCAGAGCACCCTTCTGGGTAACAAGATGAGAAAAAGAACTTGAGCTTGAATAATCTGGCTCCAAAATCCAATCTCAAACATTCAACAGGTAGTCTTAAATTTATGAAGTTCTATTCTATGATAACTTTATAACAAGTCACTTCAGACATAAGGTGAATTTTTTGTTGTTATGTGCCGTGGGGTCATCTGCATCTCATAGCGACCCTATGTACAACAGCCCTAAACCCTGCTCTATCCTGTGCTAATCATATTGTTTCTGACACACCTACCCCCATTGAATACCACATTACTTTTTTTTAAAGTTGCCATTATTTATAGCCATTTATTATCTGTATCTTGTAAATCTGATCTTTGGTTTTGGGGGTTAGAAACATTAGCTCTAAGAATGATAATACTAGCAAATTACATGCTGCAACATTGTACATAGTACATATTACTAGCCATCAAATGTACCAAAGCAAAACCAAAACCTGGGTGGTGGTAATAAGTAAACTTCACTGTAACTCTGGTACATCCTAACTTGGGACTGCCTGTTTAATTTCTCAGTGGTAAAGAGATTCACTGATGGATTTTAAGCAGGGCCTTTATATGAAATGAGCTTTGTTTTTCAAGAATCAACAAGGTTGTGTGTGTAGAAAGGCTAATTGAGAAGTATGAGTGGAAACAGAATGACTTGTTTTAAGATTAATGCCTTGTATACATAAAAAGTGGAAAAGGCTTAGGCTGTGGTGGAAGACTGGGACAGTGAGTGGATCAGGGCTAGATTCTGAAAGTGGGAGGGACCATAGTGACTGATGGAGGAGATGAGAGTGGGTCCAACAAGGTAAAGAATATAACTCTCAGCTTGAACCTGAACAGCTAGATAAACTGTGGTGCCATCTGCGAAAAGGGGGAGAATGAGGGAGGAGCAGGTCTGGAGGTAGGAGTAGAAATCCTAAGTTTCCTTTAGAATAAGTTCTGTGTGGGTGCTGATTATCTATACAAGTGCAGATTTTAAAAGGCAGCTAGGAGTAAAAGGGAAGGCCAAGACAAATTTCAATTTAGAAGTGTGGTAAAATAAATTAAGATTTGCTCACACACACACACACACACACACACACACACTAATTTTTTAAAAGAAAGAACCTGAAAGTCATATTGCTTTGGGAAAGTCAAAAGTCTCCTGTCAGGGACCTCTCCAAAGTGGTAAGGAGCAATGATGTCAGTTTGAAGAGTAAGGTGCACCTGATTCAAGCCATGATCTTTTCAGTCACTCACTAGATGTCTGAGAGATGAACAATGAGTAAGGATGACAGAAGAAGAAGTGATGCCTATGAGCTGTGGTGTTGGAGGAAGGAGAGCACTAAAAGTATCCTATGGACAGCGAAAAGAACAAACCAGAGAAGGTGACTAAGAGAAGGTGCAGGTAGAGCATTCCTTACAGGCAAGAATGGTGAAGCTCCATCTCACATTCTTTGGGCATGTTTCTAGAAGGGAATATTCTTTCCCCCCCCCTTTATTGTGATTTTAAGGAAAGTTTACAGAAAAGTTGAATTTTTTTCCATTCATTCATTGTTGCACACTTTCCTCCCTACACCCCAGTACACTTAAAAAAAATTGTTCATTGTTGCATAATTTCCTCCCTCCTCCAGTCCATTTTACTATGAAACTCTTATTCTGGACTGTTGTCATGCAAATAATTCCTAATAATATATTCCTTTTAAGCAGTTCTTTCCTTCATCTGTTCCAATGCAGTGTTCATTATTTATCCCCTCTTTTCTTAGGTCACCTCAGCCCCCAGTTCTACTACTAGAAATATACCCTAAAGAAACCAGAGCTGCCAACCAAACAGATATATCCAAACCGTGTTTATTGCTGAGTTCTTTACAATACCAAAGAGATGGGAGCAGACCAAGTGTATATCAACAAATTAATGGCTAGAAAAACTGTAGTATATTCACACAATGCAATCCTGTGCAGCACTGAAAAACAAGGAACTCATAAAATATCACACAACATGAGTGACCCTGGAGGACATTATACTGAGTGAAATATCTCAGTCACAAAAGGACAAATACTGCAAAACACCACTGTTATAATAAAGGGGGTATTCCTTAGAAAAGGGCATCATGCTTAGAAAGGTGGAGGGTCAGTGAGAGCACAACCAACAAGATGGACTGACACAATGACTGCAGGAATGGGCTCAAGTCTGTCAGAGATGATGAGGATGTCACAGGAGAGGACAGGGTTCAGGCCTGCTGTTCATAGGGTTGCTATGAGTTGGACTCAATTCAGTGGCACCTAACAACAACAAAGGAAGAAGAAAACTGTGAAGGGCTTACTCTTAAGCCTCTGATTCTCTCCTGGTTTTACCCCAAAGAGGACACCAGGGGGCAGTGAAGGACTGTGTCCTCATGATAAAGATTCTGGCGTGTAACTTCTACAACAGAGCCTTATTGAAGCCTAGGGACCTGCCACAGCCCTGAGTAGTGATGGAAGACTTGGGGAGCGCTGCCCTGAGACAGAGGAGACAGAACCCAGCTGCCCAGAGTTCAGGAAAGGAATCCAGACAACACTAACAAACACAACTCCATACCAAGAAGGCCAGCAGCCAAAACTTTTTTTGGTTTGATTTGAATGTATCTGGAGTTGCTCCAACCAGAACTCTTACGGGTAGAACTTCCCTCTCGAAACCTTTGTTGATGTTCTGGTTTTGTTTCCCTAGCAAAAATGTAACGTCTCCCAACTATCTTCCTAGACTTAGTGCAGCAGGAGGGAACAGCATTAGACACCACCTGCCTGAAGGGACCAGTGAATAGACAGAGAATTGCCCTGAAGTGAGAGTGGTGGGAGTGGTTTGACACCCTAGGAAGGACCCTGAGGCTTAGGCTAGAGTGCTCTGGTAGGCATGGGGGAAGGGTTAAGTAGGGCAGCTAAGATCAAGTGAAAAGATAGAGGGATCTCTAAGGCAGGCTGAGAATCCTTAACCTGGTTGTGTCCATAACCTCTTTTGGGTTCCTCTCTTACCTCCTGCATGATCCCCTGCAGACAAATCCTGGCCTCCATATAGTGTCTACTGTTTCCCCACTTACTCGCTTAGCCTCCCTGCCACAAGGACAGGAGAGTTGTCTAGCTCTCCTGCAGATAGAGGTGAGCCCTGGGTGCTTCCCCCAGGGCCTGGGATGACTCACTCACTCTGGTGATGGAGGAAGCTGTAGAGTTCCTTCATGACAGCGGTCTTCATGATCTCTCTAAGGAAGGTATCCTGCTCAGCCAGCTGCTGGTCGCTGAAGTGCTCCCCGTGGCCTGTGGCCCGCTGGTAATTGTTGAGGAGATTGATGAAGGCAGCATAGGTTGGTTTGGAGAGCAGCTCCTCATTGACATAGGTGAAGAGCCTGGGGGAAGTGGAGGAGACTCACTAATAGGCCTAAATATGAAGTAGACACCAGGAATTGCCAGGGTTTGATTTAAGAGCAAAGTTGGAGCCTCTAGATACTGACAGCTACTCCTGAGGTCATTCTTTTTTTCTATGTCATCTTGAAGGTGACTTCTATCTTTAGCCTGCCCAATTACAGAAAGTCACCTAACTATATACCCCCAATCCCTCAAGATGACCTTTGTCTCTGGAGACCTTTTTTTTTTTTTTTTGGTCTCCTTTCTTTCTCTTTCTATTTGATTCTGCCTCGTTTTGGGGTTTGGAAGGGAGGGATGTCAAAGGTTATAATCATAATGTAGTCAAGACCGTGCCCAAAATGTGCACAGAGGCACCTCTGCCTGAAGCCTTGTGGCTCTAATTGTCCCCAAGTTCCCAGTGCTGCCAGTATTCGCTCTCCCCTGCCACTTGTCCAACAGATTCTCAGTCCTGATCCTGCCTTATTTGAAGTGACAAAATATGAGACATGAAAAGAGTAAGAGTTGAGGGAGAGATTTTTTTCTAGCAAGCAGGAGAAGGCATGAGGGGAACTCACGGTTCTGGGCTGCGATCTACTTTGTCTCCCGTATCCGAAGATGAGATGCGGTTCTGGCTGTTGAGAATGATGTCTGACTTCTGAGCCTTGTTGATGTCTACCTCATAGATCTTCTCAGAGATGCTCTGGAGCTCCTCCTTGGTTATAGCGTCACTGCTGTGAGAGAAGCCCTCTGCAAGGAATTAAGAGTGGTCTCAGAGCAAGAGAGAAGACTGGTGTGGGTGTACTGCTCTCCTGAGCACCTTCTAGACGCTGGCAGGGCAGGAAGCCCTGTGGGACAGGGGCATAGTCACACACTCTGGAGCTGGAGAGCAGGGCACTACAGTCTAAGGGACTCTTTTTTTCCCCTAAATTTTATTTTTATTTTATGTGTGTGTGTGTGTGTGTGTGTGTGTGTGTGTGTGTGTGTACCATCAAATTGGATCTGACTGATACAGGAGGAGATTGTCGCTCCTTCCCCAGCAGAGCATCTGGTGGATTTGAATCGTGAACCTCTGGGATTGCAGTGCAGCTTCTTGCCACTAGGCCACCAGAGCTCCCCTTCTAATGGACTCTTGAGAACATTACATGCACTGGCCCCCAATGGCCACAGGTTGTCCATCCTGCCCCACCACCTTAGGAAGGTTCTTCAGCTTTGGGACACATCAAAAGCTTCTGGAAGGCTGGGACAAAACAGATGGCTAAGCCCGGCCTAGAGTTGCTGATTTTGTAGGTCTGGGATGAAACCTTGGAGTTTGCATTCTGGTTAAGTTCTCAGTTGGACTGGCACTGCTAACCCTGAGACCACACATGAGGAACCACTGCTTTCGTGTGTCCCTCTGTCTCTTAGGGCCTGAGCTGCAGGGAGGGAGAACTGACCGTGGCTACACAAGGTCTCGAAATCTTCACAGCAGTTCTCAAACTCTTGGCAGTGGGCGTCACAGTGGCATGGGTGGTGCTTGTCCATGGCTTTATGGCAGCGGCCTCGGCAGGAGCTGGGTGCTGAGTACAGGTCTAGGGGAACAAGAGGTCAGCTTGTCTCAGGTAGACAGACCATGATCGGTCACTCTCAGTGTCCCTCGGGGCCCTTCCCAGCCATTCCTTCCCTTACCCCTGCTCCTATCACTCTTCCTACTAAAGTTCTCCAGGGAGGAAAAACAAACAAGCTTAGTTTGAGCACATCCTTCACGGGCAGGAAGTCCTTTCTGATGCTGAACTTTACTTTCTGGTCTGTTGTTTTTATAATCTCCCCACTCTAAAAATAAAATAGCTTCCACTTCCTCTCCTGGCCTCTGCCCAGCTTTCAGATGTTCTCTGCCTGCCCCCAGGTGGGCAGCCCCTCAAGCTCTTCTCCCACTTTGGTCAGACTTTAAATGAAGCAAGCCCTTCTCTCAACCGCTGCACTGCCCATCTCTTAGGCTTGGGCCTGTCCTGTTGCTACTGCTATGGCTCTGCCCTCTCTGTTACCACCTGCACCCCCAAATCTGTCCTCCTTGTTACCCCCTCACGCCCTTCCTCCTTTATCCAGAAGGTAGACTCACTGCTAGCTGGGCCTTCGTCAGCCTCTTCCTCCAGCTCCAGGAATGTCTTCTGCTCTTTAGGCTTCTTCTGAGCTGCTGGAGGTCAGAAAAATAAAGTCACCAACCTGCCCTATTATGCTGAGGAACATGGAGGAAAGACACTCATCAAGCTGCATTGACCCGATGGGCGGGGCTTGTTGGAGATGTGGGGATGGTGCGGACAGGGCAAAGTTCAGATCTCTTGTTGTTTGAGTCATAGTGGACTGGAAGGCACATGACATATGATACCAGTCAGCCCAAAGGCTCTCCCCTCCTTTCTCTTGGGTTCTCAGCATCCCAGGTCTCAGTCAGATGTAAAGGATAAATAATTGAAAACTAAGAAAGATGAAATCATTTGTTGTTTTTGCTGTTATGTGCTGTTGAGTTAGAAACAACTAATAGCTGGACCCTCCAGCGAGGTTTCAAAGTCTGAAAATAATTTGTTGTTGTGCCAAAGAGTCGGAACCAACCCATAACTGACCCTCCAGTGGGTTTTCGGAGGCAGTTAATCCCACAGGAGGAGATTGCCCATCCTTGTCCTGTGGAGCAGCTGGTGACAAATTAGCCAGTGACAAATCTTGACTCCCACTCGGCTGCTCCACATACTCATCAGCAATAACCCGGGTGTGTTTGGAGTAGTGGGCAGTGATCTCCTTGGTGTGGGTCACCTCTGGTTTTTATTTAGGAACTCCAGTGGTATGATCTATATGGAGCTTCACTGCAAACCCTGAGGGTTGGAATCCATCAGTAGCTCTATGGAGCAAAGACGCGAAGTCTCCTCCCGTGAGATTTACAGTCTCAGAAGCCCAATGGAGGGCCAGCTATGAGGTGATTTCAACTCAACAGCAATGAGAGGAGGAGGAGGAGGCATTCAAGCAGTGAAGTACCCGTGGGCTAATATAAAGGCTGATGGTTTGTATCTACCCAGGGATGCTTCAGAAGAGAAAGTCTTTGTAATCTACCTTCAAGAAGACATGTTACAGATAGTGATCAGGAACGGTTACCAGCCTGTCCCGTTTATCAACCAGGCAGCAGTCCCCTGTAGGGACAGAAAAGGAGAAAAGCTCAGCCCTGAACTGGGCCTACTCCCAAGTGTCAGCTGGAAGTAGCCAGAAAGACTTCTTCATCTAACTCCCTGAAGAATCAGGGCCGAATACCTCTCAGGGGAGAATGTCAAGGGATAGGATTGCTACCTGGTGGGTCTCTATCTCTTTGTCTCTCTCCCCTCACACATCTCCCATAGGAGATGGCTAAAACCAAAGTTTCTCAGAGGAAATAAGGAGAGAAGGAAAAAAACAGTTGCACCAAGGTGATAGTACATCCGGCAGGAACCAGAAAGGGGGTTACATCAGGAAGAAGCCCCATCCTCAGGAATGGAGGGGATCCAAAACCCAACCAATCACCCAGGTCCTGAGGCAGGGCTGGGCAGGGCAGGGCTATGACCAATCTCTTGAGACAGGGAGCCAATATAATATATGCTGTCAGTCTGCCAAAAGGCTTGCCTCCATCCCTGACTTTCCAGAGATGTCCCTCACTTTCTTCTTTGCTTTTCTTTTTAACTCTTTCATGTGGCCTATCTCTATCTTTTACCAGACATGTTCTATTTATTGTGGTACCTTAATAAATTATTTTCACTTGTTTGGCTTGAAAAAAAAAAGGACATGTTGTGATGTTGTTGTTGTTGTTGTTGGGTGCCATCCAGTTGAAAGTGACTCATAGCTGGTCTTTGAGGGGGGTTCTGAGACTGGAAATTGCTCAGAAGATCACCCATCTTTCTCTGAAGGAGCAGCCGTGGATTCTAACTGCCCACCTTTCAGTTGGCAGCACCAAATCCTTACCCACTAGGCCAACTTTGGGCACTCTAATGTGCCACTCTTCTCTGAAGTGCATGAGTTTGCCATGCATCAGCTCAGTGACAACTGATGATATTCTTTAGCTAAAATGGACAGATACTCCCTGAATTTCCCTCCCTCACTTAGGAACATGCTGTACTATACCTATAATCACTCCTAATGAGTCAAGGATGAACTCCTCCCAAAGCCTCAAGGAATAGGAGGCCAGCTTCCCTCCTTTCTCTGTGCCACTCACAGGGGCCACCCAGACTTTTGTTTGGAGCAAGGGCATGTTCAGAAATCACATACTTCTTGCCACCCCACTTCCTGAGCACAGCAGTCTGAGTGACAATAACTTTGGCTGTGGACAGAGAAAGGGTAATGCACGGTGGAGAAGTAATAGGCAAGAAATGTCCTTGGAGATTCTGAACTGTTCTCCCATCACACAGGGGAATGGTGAGAGATGCTGGTGCAAAGTGATTCAGAATCTATTCATGCATTTGTTGAATGGTCCTGGGTTATTAAGAGTCTTGGTGCAGTGGTAAAATTCTTGTCTTCCATGAGGAACACCTGGTTTCAATTCCTGGTTGATGCTCCTCATATACAGCCACCACTTACCTGTCAGTGGAGGTTCATGTGTTGCTATAATATCAACAGTTCAAGGAAATTCCAGACTAAGATGAGCAAGAAAAGCCTTACAATAATCTTTTTAAAAATCAGCCAGAAAGATTGGAAAGCATTATGCTGAGTGAACTAACTCAATCTCATAAGGACAAATACTGCATAAGATCATTATTATAAAAACAGAAGGATAACTAGTAAAACATGTATGGGGACCCAAAGAGAGGAAGGGGTGAGAGCAGAGGGGTGAGGATGAGTAGGGGCAAAATTACAGAGTTTCAGAATTTGGTGGGTGAAGGGAGAGATCCAACAGGGACCAGAAAAGACAGAGTAATGGAGGACAACGTCTAATCGTGATTAATTTTATAAAACAGTTAATGGGAATGATTGTATGAAACACAATGTGAATGAAGAAAAGTGTAAAACAACATATACAAACTTTGTAAGTAAACTAATGTAAAAGAATTAATTTGTTTTAAATCAGCCAGTGACAACGTTACGGATCACAGTGGTCTGAACCCAAGTGCAGAGTTGCTGTAAGTTGGGTGCCTATTCCACAGGAGCTAACAACACCACTGGGTTATTGCTAGTCATGAGGCAAGCTATTCATTCAGTCAACAAACACTTGGTCATTTAAGTGCTAGAAATCCAGAGAATTCTTGGTTCAACTACATGCCATGCTAAAATGACCTCAGTGAGCTAACCTGAAATGCCAACCATCATTTCCTCCCCCGCTCCCCCACTCCACCCTGGAAAAAAGATCTGAGTTGGAAATCAGACTTAAAGATGAAATAACTTTTAAGATGAGTATTATCTCTATCGTTAAGTGCCAGCCTGTAGCCCAACATGTTGGGCTACAGATGACCTGCTGTGAGGAAGGGGTAAGGAGCCCCTGAAGAAGACTAGGCTATCATGCTGGGTACAGACTCTGTCCCTGAGCTTACCTGCCTGGACCTAACTATCTAGGCCTCAGTTACATACGTGTGTGTGTGTGTGTGTGTGTGTGTGTGTGTGTGTGTGTATTTACATATATATATATAAAATCTTTTGTGAAAATTGAGAAAAGTTTCCTTTGGGGGAAAAGCAACTCAGTAGGCATACATTTTTGTCTGAGTCTTTGGCCTAATGAGGAAAAGGCACCACATTCTCTCAGCAGGTACAGTTCCAAAGCAGCACATGGCTCAGGGAAAAGAACTAATGTCTCTTGTCCTCTTCCCCGGGAGGCACCCTTGGGCAGAGCACAACTGTGTGCTGTCATCTTGGTGGCATTACCAAGTGTGGTTTTAGTGACCGTGTTTTCTGAACACGACCAGTTAATTTAGCAAGGCTTTGTTCCACGATACAGAAGATGGTGTTTCTGGGAGTCTAAAACAAGATTATTAAAAAATTATTTTTCGAAGTAATCTGTTTTAAAGTAATGCCTTTGGAGCAGTTGAAGCACAATGGGCTTTTGATGATGGTGCGTGTTTCTTTTTAATCCCGGGCTGGGGATGATGGTTGAGGCTGACTGACCTTTTGGTGCACTCAGCACAGGAAGGGGGGTGTGAGCGGTGACAGGCACTGTTCCTGGTGATGCCACAGTTGTCAGAGTTCCCTGCCATTTTTGTGTCATTGTGATTTAAAGTGTTACATAACAGCTGGGAATGGAACTCATGCCAAAATTAATTTTTAGCGTTTTGTGTGTATGTGGAGTTACTTAAACTTTCAAGATATTGTTAAATCTTTCTACTCAGATGGCTTTCCTTTCTATTGTACTTTAAATTGGGGAGGGGTGTGTATGTGTTAAATTGGGGGCAACCTGGGGAATCTGGGATGAGTGGTGGCCAAATCCCTGATGCTCCACATGCTCTTGTGCCCTCAGAGCCCCTCCCATCAGACCCAGACCTCCTACCACCAGCTTCCCACCCGCTACAGGGAGGCTGGGGCAGCTCCCAGGTTCTTCCTCCCACAGGGATCCTCACCTGTACACAGGTGCTCATAGTCGTCACAGCAGTCCCCGTGCCGGGGACACCGGCGGTCACACTGGCAGGCAGCATCCCGGTCAAAATTCTCGTGGCAGCGAGATGCGCATGACTCTGCTGATTCTATGGGCAGTAAAAGACACAGACTCTGTGGAACACTATTCTCACAGAGGTTCTTTCTGCTAGACAACACTGACAGGGCAACCTCACTGGGCAGAAACATCTATAGCCATGCTGGTCCCACATAAGCCTTCTCTTTGGGGCCTACCATCAAGACAATATTTCAGGATTCTTGATACCTAACAAGAGAGCTCTAGTGGATTAGTGGTAAAGAGTTGTGCTGCCAGCCTGAAAGGATGCAGTTTGAATCTACCAGCTGCTCTGTGAGAGAAACATGGGCAACCTCTTATGCAATTTCTGGCCTCTGAAAGCTACCAGGAGGGTTAGCTATGAGTCTGTTCTGACTCAGTGGTACTTAACAACAGTAATACATAATCAAGGGGACTCTGGTGGTATAGCCTATATTGAATTGTGCTATTAATCCAAAAGCCAGGATTCCCAGCAGTTCGAGTGCACCAGTGGCTCCGTGAAGAAAGGTGGGCGATCTCCTTCCACCGCGATTTACAGCTTTGGAAATTTAATGGAGAGTCCTATGAGTCAGAAGTGACTCTTCAGGAGTGCATTTGAGGTTCTTTAGTTCTAATATAAACAAAGGAAGCCTGGTGGAGGCAGCTGAAAGGTCAATAATTTGAATCCACCAGCACACCCAGAGCAAAAGATGAACAGTCGCCTCCCATAAAGATTTCTAACCTCAGAAACCCAATGGACGGTCACCAGGAGTCACAGTAAACTGGCAGTCCTAGTGGTACCATGATTACATGTCCAGCTGTTAACCAAAAGGACAGTGATTTAAAGCCATCAGCTGCTCCAAGGGAGAAAGATATGGCAGCTTGCTTCCATAAAGATTCAAAAACCTAATTAAACCCACTGCTGTCAAACCAATTCCGACTCATGGTTACCATCCACCAGGTTTCAAAGGTTGTAAATCCTTGTGGGAGAAGACTGCCCGCCTTTCTCCGGTGGAACAATTGGAAGACTTGAACTGCTGACCTCTGGTTAGCAATGCAACACACAATGCACTACACCACCAAGGCCACTTCTCATAAAGGTCACAGCCGTGGAACTCCCATGGGAGAATTCTCTATTGTACAGGGTTGCTCTGAGTCAAGTCGGTCTGACAGCAGTGGTTTGGGTTTGGGTTTAGTTTAATATAAAGCAGGACCCCTGGTGGTTTAGTGGTGAAGCATTCAACAGCTAATAAAAGGTCGGCAGTTCTAACCCCCCAGATGTTGTGCACTAGAAAGACGTGGTGGTTTGTTTCCGCTCTTTACGAAAGAACCCAGCTTGTCACGGTTGTGTAGGATCCGATCCACAGCCGACCCTCCAGCAGGTTCCTGGAGCCTGGAAGTCACACAAGAGGAGATTGCCCAACTTTCTCCCTCAGAGCAGCTGTTGGATCCAAACCACCAGAGACTGTCCACCTTTGGGTTAGCCTCTGCCACCATAACAGCTTGTAAAGGCTCTCAGGCGGTTCTGCTCTGTCCTTTACGGCTTCTACGGTTGGCAAAGGGTTCGCACAGAATAGAAGTCCCTGGTTGGTAAGGGCTATTTGATCTCAGCTGCTAACTGAAAGGTTGACAGTTCAAATCCATCAGCAATGTCTCAGAAGAAAAGTCTGGTAATCTTAAAAATAAGCCGCTGAACACCTTGTGGAGTACAGTGATGCTCTGACACTGGTGGCCATGCTCTGAGTTGAAATAGACTCAACAGCAACCAGTGAACCCAGGATCACAAACTCTAGGGGCTGGCCAGGTAGCATAAAGACAAAGAGAAGTGGGACAATAGAAAGAGGTAGAAGCCTGGTGAACTTGAGAGTGACTGCCATGATGACAGTGTACAGCCTCATTGCACTTTGGTTGACTGTTGCCCTGTTAGGTTGCAGGTTCAGTGTTGCCAAACCCTCCACTTTCCCCAGAGACACTTTGATTCCTGTGTGGAATTTCTCAACATTTAAAAACTCCAAGCAGACCCAAGAAAGTTGTTCAGGGGCCGGATAGTGCACCTGTCGCGTAGATGAAGGTGAGTCACCCAGCTGTGCTGCTCTGGCCTTTCTCCGATGGCCCACCCTTCCTTCTCATCCCACCCTGACCTGTTTGTGTTTTCAATGTCTTTGTTCTTCCTTCCCCCCTCATCCTGTCTCCACTGCACCCTCTTTTCCCCTGTGTCACATCTTCCTGTTCCTTCCAGGCCTTGGAATGCATTTGAATTAGTTTGTGCTCTGGGTGGGGAAGGAGGCGGGTGTGGGTGAGAATTGGGCTTTGGAATAAGATTCTATTATGTAACCACAGACCACAGCCCTGACTGGAGCCAAATGTTGCAGAAGCAGACTTCTGATTGCAAGGGATGCAAGACAAGAAAATTTTGAAAGTATAAACCCACTACCTCTCCTGAAAAAACAAGCAAACAAGCTCCCAACTCTCCGTGCTTTGCTGTGGTGTGCATTTGGTCAGCCCCAATAGCACACCACAGCAAAGATAGCCAAGGGTACCAGCCAGGGCGGCAGCTAGACTGGGGGCTGTTTCCTTCTATCCCAGCTTTAAGGGTGATTTACAGAGACTTTGTTTCCATTTGAGGTTCCTGAGGTTTGGATTGGGCTAATGCTAGGTTTCAAGGTCAGGCTGTGGGTTATAATGTCAAGATCAGAGGCAGAGTTACCATTTACATCAACATTTCTCTCAAAGAGGAAACCGAAACCTAATTTAAACCAGGTTTGGGGTTAGTTAGGTTTAGATTAAGAGTTCTAGTTGAAATTTGGATTTGAATTAGTCTCTCTCTCTCTCTCTCTCTCTCTCTCTCTCTCTCTCTCTCTCTGTGTGTGTGTGTGTGTGTGTGTGTGTGTGAGAGAGAGAGAGAGAGAAAACCCCAAAAAATTCTGGTGATCTAGTGGAAGCAGGAGTGGCATCCACTTCCTAAACAACATACCTCTAGAAACTCTATGAACTCTGATAAACGATGATAGTTATAGAAAGGCCTTTTGTTCATAAGATTATTATGAGATGTGCTTGACTCGATGGCAATCAACAACAACAACAGTGGTGGGGAGCTGTGCTGCCAACCCAAAGTTTCGAATCTGCCAGCTGCTCCATTGGAGAAAAGTGGGGAATCCCCTTCCTTGCAATTTACTGCCTCTGAGAATCCACTGGAGGGTCATCAGTGAGTTGGTTCTGACTCCCTGGCACATAACAACAGCTAACAAGAATTTCGTTTGGTAACAATGGGGTTCAATTTAATATGGCATTCAGAGTTGACAAATGTGACAGGATTAGAAGAGCAGAAATAATCTCATGTTTTCCTTAGATTTGAACTGGACTTTAGTTCTGGCTACAATTTCATGGATGTATATAATCTCAATTTAAGCTGGATTGGACTGCAGGAGAGTATTAGGGATTTGGGTTTTAGTTGCTGGTTTGGATAGCTTAACATAAAGGTTGAGAACCTGGCCTTGAGCACCAAATTGCTGGAATTCAGGTTCTGCTGCTTCCTTAAGGCTTGGGGCAAGGTGTTCCTTGTCTCAGTTTTCTTATAAAGAAAATGAAAATAAAATGAAGCAATAATGGAACCCATCTCATAGAATATCTGTGTAAATGTACTGAGTCAATCCCCTTTGAATTCTGTATTTCCTTAAGTAATTAAGTCATTAGCTCTGGTTGCCCAGTGGCTAGGGAGGTGTGCTGTGCAACCCTTGCTTGAGACCATCAGCTGCTCTGAGGGAGAAAAATGGGCCGTTTCCTCCCAGGCGATTTACACTCTCTCAAAACCCACTGGAAGGTTAGCTAACAGTTGGTTGCAACTCAACAGCAATGACTTTAAGGGGGTTTTGGTTGGGGTTTTTTTCAGCCATTAAACACATGAAACTAAATAGTCAACATTTACCCTAAAACAAAAATGTGACGCTAAGCAGGGGCAGTGGGGTTAGCTTCATGGAAACAGATCTAACAGAATGGAAAGAATGAGAATTCTGACACATTGTGGAAAACGTAACCGACATTATGGCAACTACTTGTATAAAAAAGTTATTAAATAGAAACTTAATTTGCTATGTAAGCTTTCACCCAAATTATAGTAAAATATACACATATTTTTAAATGGGGTGAGTTCAATATTTGTAAAGCACTTAAGCTTGTATGTGACACATAGTGGTGCCATGTAAGCGTCTGTTTGTTAGATAAATAAAGGCAACAAGTGTCGACTGGTGCGGTGGTCCTGCCAGCACACTTGGTCTAGCTGACGCTCCCTGGGCTTCCCTTAGGCTGGGGCATCAGCACATTTATGTACCTGCTACCTCTTTTTCTGCTGGCATCAACACAATACACATGTGCACTTTATATCAAAGATGCATTAGGTCAAGGTTAACCAAGTCCTGGGGCAATTTCATGTTGTCTACAGGTCAGTTTGAAGACTAAGGTGTGCCCGATTCAGGCCAGGACCTTTACAATCACTTACTATACACTGGAGAGTTGGAAAATGAATGAGAATGACAGAAGAAGAGTTGATGACGTCTCTTAGTTGTGGTGTTGAATAAAAGTGCTGACTATCCATCCAGTAGTCAGCCAAAAGAACAAATGGGTATGTTTTGGGTGAAGTTCAGCTAGAGTGCTCTTTAGAGACAAGAATGGGGAAGCTTCGTCTCTCATACTTCGGGCATGTGGTTAGCAGAGGCTGTTCCTTGAGTGGAATATCATGCTTGGGAAGGTCAGTGAAGAAGAGGAAGATCTGCTTTAAGTTAGATAGACAAACTGGCTGCAGCAATGGGCTCAAGTGTGTAAGAGGTGATAGGAAAGGCACAGGATAGGACAGGGTTCAGATCTGTTCTTCAAAGATTTGCTATGAGTTGTACTCAACTCTGACACTTTACAACAAGAACAGCATTCACTGGCTCGGGCAGGCCTCTGGTCCAGTGGAACCTACACACACAGACACAGACACACACACACACACACACACGCAAAACAACAAAAAAAATCCAACTAGCTATTGAGTCACTTCTGATTTATGGCAGCTCCAAGTGTTATAGAATACAACTGCTCCGCAGTTTTCTTATCTGTAATCTTGCTAGAAGCAGATCTCCAGGCCTTTCTTCCACGACTGCCCTGAATTTGAATCATCAGTTGCTAACCGTTCCATTAACAGTTGAGTTACAACTCTTTGTGCCAGTCAGAGATCGACTGATCGAGAAGACTAAACCCAAGGCCATTTGTCTCTTCAAGATCATAAGAAACTCTCTTGAATCCTAAAATGATGCTCCATTGAGACCCAAATGCAAAGCTCTTAAGGAGAAATTTCCAGCCCAGGAGGAAGGCTACCTCTGCAGCCTGTCCAGACGCCTGGCAGTACATCCAGACTCCAAAGGGAGAGGATTCAGACAAATCAGGTCAGTGTTTTTAATGGGCCAGATCAGCAAGTCCAAGGAATAAATTCACTCCATTCCAGCAACTGGCACCAGTTGAGAAGGCATACAAGTGAATAGTCAGCTCTGTAGGGTGCAGAACACCCCACACACACCCTGGACAAAGCTGAGTAGATTTTTTTTTTTCATTTTCCTTCAAGAACTCTGTCCCCAGTAGGAGCCTCCTGCCAGGATTTCTTCCAATTCTCTGTGAACTAAGTCTGCTTCAATACAACCTTGGGAGTGGAAAGCAGAAGGCAGGAGGAGTAGGAGGGACTTTCCGTGCAGCACCTCCCTGTGCTGTTTGGGAACATTCAGGGGACAAGTCAGCTGGACTGCTCACTCACACACCCTCCCCCTCCCCTCCCCATCACATAAGCACTCTGCTCCTGCCTCACTCACCAAGCCAAGTGCCTGAATCTCAACTCAGTACCCTTCAACTTGCTCTCTTCTGCCTCGTGTCTCTGACTTTCTTCATTTTGACCTTTCCTGTCTTGGTCTCGGGTCTTCTCTCCCTTCCCCCATGGAGAGTTTGGGGCCTCTGATGAAGTACTAAGTTTCTCTGCACCCTTGAAGACATCACATGCCAAAATGTCCACTCCCTGTTTCTACTGCCCACCAAGAAAGCTTAGCCCCAACCTTGTGTGGTTATAGTGTCTCTATATGCTAACTCATTTGGGCCTCCTGGGTCTGCCTGCACCATGCAGGGGCCTCCCAAGTGATGCTGTTTCCATGGAGACTTAGTTAGCCAAAAAGATTCATCTCCAGGACCAGCTTCCTGCCTCAATCCACTTGAAACAACAAAGCCTTTAGCACCCAACTCATAAATGAGGACCTGAGGCTGGCAATGACTCCTCAATATGAATCATGTGCTTTCATCAGAGTTCTGAAACGTTGAAATTGTCTAAACAAGGGAAGAGCCTTCTCTCTCACACCTTAGGAAGGAAGGCAGCATCAGCCACTGGAGCCTCACTCCAACTTCTCAGCTCAGTCACATTGCTTCTCTTGCCACCCTGCAAGATTCAGCAGCAGAGATTCCAGCCACACTGGTCAGGCCGCTCTGTCTCCTCCCTTAGGAGTTTTTCCAGGGTCAGAAGTCCTTGCCTCCCACCAGGTCCTGATGTGCTCTCTGCCTCCACACCAGCAGGTCTGAGGCCAGAGTGTGCCATGCTCTTCCTCATTCTCTGCCACTGCCTCTCCGCCACTCAGGGTGCAGGCAGAGTTGGCTGCTGTGCTAGGTGTCCAGGCGGGCGTACATCATCCCCTCTGGTGCTGAAAGGGTTGTGAGTAGCTTTCCTCTCCAGAGGTTTTCCCTTTAGGAATCCTATTAACCTCAAGAAAGAAAGGAAGGAAAGAAAACCAAATTTTTCTGTCCCATGGTGACCCCACGTGTTACAGTGTACTCCTAAGCTCATAGGCTTTCTTGGCTGTAATCTTTACGATGATGTCGTTGTTGTGTGCTCTCAGAGGCAATAAACTGCAGGAGAGGATACTTCCCATCCTTCTCCCATGGAACAGCTGATGAGTTCAAGCCACATGCCTTTGGGATTACCTCTAGACCACTAGCGCTCCCTATCTTTATGATAGTAGATCACTAAACCTTTCTTTCATGGCCTATGTGGCTTTGAACTACTAACTTTTTTATTAATAGCTAAAATCATATCATGCCCTCAGAGGCCACCTCATCCACAACCTGATTAGAAATGACTTCAAGATTATCCCAGTAATATTTATAATCACAGTTCTAATCAAAGTTCTGACTCCTAGAGATATCACTCTGTGAGCTGCTTCTCGTCCATTATCATATTTAATAACCACAGAAATCCTGTGGAGGAACAACGTGGGTGGGTTGAATGAGCTTCAGGCTCTGATTCTTTCTCCTCACGGGTAAGAAAGGATTCTTCCCACAGCCCCCAGCTCAGCCTTCCCCCCTGGCGCTACTTCCTACTAACCACTAATTAACACACCAACGTCAATATTTTGCACAATAACTAAAGAGGAGAGTTAGTCTCTTGCTAGCCTCAGCTGTAAGCCATGTCCCTTCTCTGCTCTTCAGTTGATCTCGGAATGAGGCAAAACCCCATTCTTCTGACTATCCCACGTAGAACGTAGCCCACCTCTTAGCCAGGGACCCTTCAGTCTTATTCCTGAGCCCACCTATCTCCTAAGGTATTATTCCAAGAAAGATCACCACCTCAGATGACTTCACCCATCACCAGGCAATGCACAGAGTTACCAAGGACATCGAGACACAAAACCCCAACAGATCCCAATCTCAGCTTCACATCATGTGGTGTACTAGGGTAGAGGGTGGGGAACCTTGGTTAGCTGAGAAGTCAGGTTAGACTAAAGGATGTTTGGAGTAGTGCGCCAAGGAGTCAAGAAGAGACTCCATGAAATGAATCCATCATCCATCAGCCCTAGAAACTTCCTTCAGCAGTCCAGTCCAGAGATAACTTCTACACCTCCAAGCATACTACACAAGCACAAGCCTAAGATGCTCCCACTTTAGGAGAAAGCTGACCCCTCACTTTGCCACTTTAGCCTCACCCTCCACCAGATTCCTCATCTCTGATCTTTTATTCGAGAGCCCCCAACTATCCCTTCTCCCATCCCTCCCCCCCCCCAGGCAGTGACTTACCAGCCCAGGCCATGCCACAGAGCACAGCCACTATCAGGGGGACACAGGCCCTCATGGTGCCTGGTTGGAGGCTAGAGGAGGCTTGGCTATTGGACTTTCACTGGAGTCAAGGTTAGCGCCACTGCTCTCAAATGAGCCCTCATTCCTAGGCGGGTCCTTTTAAAGACATCAAGACTTGTGGATCTGGTGCCTCCAGATCCTCTCAGGAAAGCGTAGGGGAGGAGGGACCCCAGATGGATAGGAGGCGGGAGGAGGTGGGGCTCAACAGCTGTTTGAAGCCAGAAGGCAGGTGACTAAGCTGGTGGGTGATGCCAGATGTTTAGAACAGGTAATTCTAGCTGTTTATAGCTATAAATTAGGTCATCTAAGCAGGCAGAGTAAGATGGACCTAGGCTGTGAGGTTCTCTATCCAGATTAGGAATACCTAGGGGGTTCATTTTGAGAGTCCTTTGAGAAGCTTATTTTGGAGTGATTCCCCTCTAAACACTCACCTACCTGGAACCCATAGGCCTGATCTTCTAATGAGCTACAGGTTGGTTTCACCTTTGAATTCCTCATGCTCAGGATAGGTACCCAGCACCTAATAATGTGGTCATTATGCATTTGACAGTCCCCAAGCAAAGGCTGGAATTAGGACAGATATAGGAATTATGGGTCGGAACAAGGGCTATTCTTGTTAGCATTGTTATATCCAATTAAGAGACACACACTACAGGATCACAAGTGAGTTCCTTTATTCTTTGCATGGGGGAGGGGGGCAGCAAGTGTCCCATCAACACAGCAGGATTTTCCAATTCCCTAGCTCCAGGTAGGTGCTTTTATCCTTTTACCCTTACTCCCGAACCCCACCCCCCCAGATGCTGAGCTGCATGAGCCCAGGCTACAATATCCTGCGGTCGACATATTTCTAAGGGTACAGTGCAAAATATCTACACCTTGGGCTTATCAAAGGTACAGTACAAAACACCTGTATCTTGGGTTTATCAACAATAGCAACTACTATTTCAGGAAACAGGTCAAAACAAAACTTTAGGGCTCTGGGCAGAAATTATCCACACACAGGGTTTGGTTACTCAAATGGAGTGTGAGCTACATAAAGTGGAGTCTATTTGGCTTTTCAGCATGAAGCTGCTCTGTCTACACCACCCTAGACTTGCAAGTGGGTCTCTTACAGAGTCAGTAGCTCAGGTTTAGTGTGTTTTAGGTTTGTAATAGGTTGTAGATATTTTAAGAAACAGGAAACAGGAAACGCAAAATCAGTCAAAGGACTCAGCTTCTTTCCCCTAGGAAACCTGGATCCTACTCCTTCATCCTCTCCCTACACCCTTCTTTCCCAAGAGATAGATGAGGTTCTCAGGGCCAGTTGTTTCCATATCCAAGAACAACTTGTGACTGATTCTTCTCCCCTCAGTAATAGAGGGGAAATCAGATAAGCAAATTGCCTTTAAAAAAAAAAAAAGACCCCTGCATGAAAATTCTCAGGCCTCTCAAAAAGGAAAGTATTGTATAAAAAGGCATATATAAAACTCTAGAATTCTAGAAGTGATTTTTAGTTCCTGGAGTAGGAGTGTGTCTTCCTGCTGTTGCTGTTAAGGTGCTGTTGACTGTGACTCATAGCAACACTATGAACAATGAACCTTGTCATATCCTGAGCCAACTACATGGTCTCTGACACACCTGACCCCATTGCCATAGTCCCTGTGTCAATTCATCTCATCTAGGGGCTTCTTCTCTTGCTCTGCTCCTCAACCCTTCTAAGCATGATATCGTTCTCCAAGGCCTGGTCCCTCCTGAGAGCATGACCAAAGTATGTGAAATGGCATATCAAAATCCTTGCCTCCAAGGAGAAACCTGGTTCCACCCTTCCCAGGACAGACCTGTTTGTTCTCTTGGCACTCCAGATGCATAACAAGCAATTGAGAAAACTGTCATCGCTCTTTAGCACGCTGGAGATTAACAGCAGATTTTCCCAGTGCAATTTGGCTTTTGATTTCCTGACTGCTGGTGCCAAGGGTGTTGATTGTGGATCCAAGCAAGATGTGTCTTCCCAACCTCTGTGCTTTAACAGCAGAAGTTTCTTCCTCTGTGTAGGCTAAATGACGGGGTTGGATCTGTCAATCCTTCCAAAACTCTCTGGCTTTGAGGTTGACTGAGCTGTTGGTGGTGGGTTAAAAAGAATCCCCAAGCTCTTTACTGGGTGGCAATTGTTATTGTTGGTTGCCGTTGAGTGTATTTCAACTCATAGTGACCTCATAGGGGAGAAGAGAATTGCCTTGTAAGGTTTTCTTGGTTCCAATGGTGATGAGACCAAATGTGGGATCTCAGGTAGAGAGGATAGAACAGGGGGCCTGTCACCCTGTCAAGGGAATTAGAAGAGAAGCATAACTGGGGAGTGAAACACTGGAAGGAGTCACAGCAGAAGCAGCTGATTCTTTTGCTAAAGTTTATTTGCACAACCTGAAAGCAGGCAGTTAAGCCACCGCCAGAGAGTCTTTCTCCCCCTACTTTGGATCCTTGTCCACAAATCTCTGATTTCAGTTTAGAGGACAAAGGAGAGTGTCACAGGCCCAGTGGGAGGCAAGGAAGTGCTGAGAATTTAGGATTAGCTGGCCTATTCCTTCCTGAGGTCCTGCTGGTCTGTCCCTCACTTGTCAGGAACCGGGGTCTACTTAGGCCTTCTAGTGTCCCTCTGAGCTGATTTTGGATGGATCTTCAGAGCTTGAGCTCTTTTCTCCAACAGGTTGGATTTTCATTCAGGACTGACTGGGAGTGGTGGAAATAACTGGGGCTGACTTCACAGAGCCAATGAACCACCTGAGGACCAGCATGCTTCAAAGAACAGCGGCCGCCTATTTACCACAGTCATCATTCATCGCCAACTATGGACCTTGCACTAAGAGCTTCGGATGTTTTATTTCATTTACTCTCACTTGAGACCTTGATAGATACTGTTGTTATCCACATTTAAAGATGAAGATTAAGTCACAAAAAGGATAGGAGATTTACCCAGAAGCATCCAATTATTAGCTTATGTGGCAGGACTTCAAACCCCGGCCCACTGACCAGAGAACATTCTCACAAACACAAATACCACATGGCCCCACTAAAATCACACTCAAAAGCACATTAACAACAAATTATTTCACTATGTCTTCCACTAGGCAAAGAGGATTTGAATCGTAGATTTTAGGACTAGATGGCATTCTAGGAACTAAAGGGCATTAGTTATCGTCTAGCTATTTTACAGTAGTGATGCAACCCCTAAACAATCCTACAAGAAAGTTGGCCTGCCTCTAATTGCATGCCACTGGTGACAGGAAGTGCACACCCACTAAGAGCTGTTCAACTCCCTTTTCCAAACATTATTTCCTGCCTTTAGACATGATGTCAGTTTGAAGACTAAGGCAAACCTGACTCAGCTGTGGTCTTTTCAATCACTTGTTAACTACCTGGGAGCTGGACAATGAATAAGAATGACAGAAGGAGAATTGGTGCCTTGGCACTGTGGTGTTAGAGAAAAGTACTGACTATGCCATGGACTGCCAAAAAAACGAACAAGTATGTCTTGGAGAAAGTGCAACCAGAGTGCTCTTTGGAGGCAAAGATGATAAAGCTTCATCTCACGTACTTCAGGCAGGTTGGTAGGAGAGGTAATTCCTTGAGGCAGGTTGGTAGGAGAGGTAATTCCTTGGAGAGTGAAACCATGCTTGCAAAGGAGGAGGGTCAGTGAAACCGGGGAAGTTCCTCAAGAAGATGGAGTCACTGTAGAAATGGGCTCAAGTGTTTCAGAGATAATGAGGATGACCCAGATAGGACAGGATTCAGAACTATTGTTTATAGAGTCACTATGAGTTGTACTTAACAACTCCTAACAGCAACAACTAGGCATGCTGGCAGGGAGCTCTAGTCTTGAAGTGCTAATGATCTGCACTGCCAACACAAAGGCACAGGCTTTGAATCCACCAGCTGCTCTGAGTCCACCAACTACTCTACAGGAAAAAAGTAAGGAGTCTCCTCCTATGCAATTTACAGTCTCTGAAAACCCACTAAAGAGTCAGCTATGAGTCAGTTCCACTCAATGGCACTTACAACAACAATAACAAACATGCTAGCACCGACAAAAGCAGACAGGCTAGTAAAATAAATCTATTAAGTCTAAGTGGTGATATTAACTGCTTTTGAGTCAACTCTGACTCAGTGACCAGCAGAATAAAATCATCCTCACAATAGTCAGCACCTTCGCGTTCATCTTTGTAGCTATGGTACCAATCCGTCTTACAGTAGATCCCTCTTCCCTGCTTGCCACCAAACATGATAGCTCCCACTAGCAACTGATCACTTCTGACGGCATGTCCAAAGCAATGCTCTTTTGTCATTTCTAAGATTTCCACCAATCATTCTGTCTTAGTCTGGAAGTTCCACTGAAACCCGTCCCTATGGTAGATTCCTATGCAAGTATTTGAGATGTTGGTGGCATAACTTCCAGCATGATAGCAACATGCAGACCACCACAGTACAACAAGATGATAGATGGCTGGTGAGCACCAATAAAGAGACACATATCAATACACTCATGCAAAGACACCTCGGAGATAAACTTAGATGCACACATGTATTTGGAGACACATTAACATGCATTACAAACAGTATTCTCTTCTAAGCCAGACTAACCTGGAGAGGAAAACCTCTGCTGCACCTCTTTTTAAGTGCCTCCTACAACTGGGTACCCATATGTGTTTTCCATCCTGAAAATCTCTTCCGAAGAGATTTCTTCTTTCTGAAGAAGTCCCAGTGGGAGTTAGCCACAATGATGGGAGTCCCAGCAAGCTAAGTCTTGGAGACCTGAAATGTGGAAAGCATAGAGAGAGAGTCTGATGGAAATGGAGCCCAGCAGGAAATGAGAATACCAGCAGAGATGCCTTCTTTATATCAGGAATGGAAGAGATGGCACGGCCCTGGCCTCTGTGAGTGTCTGAAGGGCGGAGGACAAGGATCCAGGAGGCAGGCAGTCTTCAGGGATATACCAAAAACAAACCAAACAAAAACTCATTGCTT